ATCCATCTTCTTCTCCGTATCCAGAGCCAGGTCTCGAGGTTTTTAACTCAATATGTGAAATCTGTTTCTATCATATTTAGAATTTTAATGTAAGGGGTCAAAATATCATCCAGCCTCTGTAAAATGTCTCTAGAGCAGGCAAACAGGTACAGCCCCAGTCAAATATATGCACACACCCGAGGCCAGGGAAGTTTCTCATTATCCGAGACAAGTCATAATAAAAACCAACACGAAACTCTTTGACTGTTTACACAATGAACATGAAGTCAGTGCAGGAAGCTTACTGCATCAATTCGGTTGATGTTCTTTTGTTGAGTGTTTCATTATAAAATATGGGAAATAATGAAAAATAAAGAAATACTCCTTTTTAAAAATATATTTGTTATCCTTTTAACAGCTTTATTTGACAGAAACAGTGAAGATCGACAGGAAAGGCATGCAGCAAAGGGCCACAGGTTGGACTAGTACCCAGGCCCACCACTTTCAGCCATGCGGCATATGGTCACCTGCTCATCCAGCCGAGCTAAACCGGCATCCAAGAAGTACTCCATTTTGACTGAGTGTGTCCAAACCTTTGACTGATACTGTAAAAAAACAAAACAAAAAAACAACTTACTCGTCTCTGCTGGTGATATCTTTGAATTTCTCAGTGCATGGCTGCTTGGCTGCCTTGGCTTTGTGACGCTGCCACTGCAGGTTTTTCAGGTCTGCTTCAGCCACATTAAAAGTATACTTCAGCAATGAGTCTTTTCATAATTACAGTGTAATGAATTGTGATCGCTGATATGTGAAAGATGTCTGTGTAATCAGGATTTACTGGTTATTATTTTGTGTTGCATCTTACAAGCAGCTTTCAACTAAAATTATTTAAGGAAAAACAAATGTATTTTTATTCTCAGTTAACTTACTCACAAAAATTATTCATCAGTCAGCATAGACACTTGAAGAACAAAAGCTGGAGCTGCATACCTGTGTGATGTGTTCTCATATATATCATACATTACAGCCACAGGCATTAGTGTGTGGAACACCTGTACAGATGAAGTTAAGAAAGGTACATCTATACAAAAATATACACAATTGTTTAAAAACAATAAATTGTATGAATATAGGAAATGTTCCTCTTAGTGACTGAGATGTCCTATTGTGTTATAATAAAGCTTTGTCCTGATTTTTATTGATTAAGCAAAGCGTAACCCAAACTTAAAGTATTCATTAAGGTGTTTGTCACATAGGCATAATTCCATATGAAGCAAATTACAAACATCATAGGGTGTTTAGCTTAGGTAAAAATGTAGTTTGTTGTTGTTTTGGTTTATGAGCTTAAATTGTTTCATGTGTGTATTGTATATGAGTTTAGACTTGTATACAGTTAAAAATGTATGGATCGTTTAATGTCGAATTTGGAATATTGATTTGTAAACAATGGAATTTGAAATAAGAGGGTAGGAACAGAAAATGTGAAACCTCATCTTACTTCTTTTTGAGCATAAATATTGTATAGACATAGAAATATTCATGAAAATATAATGTTTTCAAATTTTTCATTCCTCTTGTAAATCTTGAAATATCTATGTATCATTTTCAGAGCTTCCTTGTTCTTGTTAGACTTCAGTCTCTCCAACCATGCAGCAATACACAGAAAGTCAGAATTGACACTTCAGATTCAACTGGTGTAAACACTTGAAACTTTTATGCACGGATTTACAAACGTAAACAATTCGTAAACCGGTGCATAAAAGTCAAGTTTTTATAACGCAGCTATATCTATATATGTATTCATGTAGTATTCATGATTAATGGAAATAAATAAATAAATAAAATTTTTAATTTGCCCCTTAAATTGAGTATTTGTTGAACTCTACTTCAAGTCACATGCAGTTTTCTGAAGTCAGGACTCTTCCTCCACCCTTACAGCTTCTAAGGAGCATGAGAAAGGGTCTGTTCCCCTTTCATCTTCCTGTGATTTTTTACTGACATCCACCATCATATCTGTAATATAATATTTAAAGTAGGGAATTTCTTAGATAGAGGATACACCAAACCCAATGAAAAGATCCTAGAAGGATAAGGTCCACTACTTAAATAACTTAAAATTATGACAGAAATGTAATCCATGGTCTCTAAACTGTGAAAAGGCCCGAGTTTCCTCACTGCATTAAATGAAAGGCTGGAAAACTCTGATTTGCACATATGACTTTATTATTATTATTATTATTATTATTATTATTATTATTATTATTATTATTATTATTGTGTTATTATGTATTATAATTAAAACCCATTTTTAATTTAAGTAAGTATATTTGCATTATACTGAAATTATGTAAAATACACACAGAATTTGTTCAAATGGTTCCAGTTTATTGGCATCCACTGAATCACTTTCATTACAGAAAAAACATTACCCCTAGTGGCAGAGTCCTGGTAGTACAGACTGATTCTATAGAGAAACACATACCACACAGCAAGTCAGTAAGAAAATATCTAAGTGTTATCTACAGTCAAGCATATCTGGGTTAAAATTTTACTGAAATCTTTCCTGGTTTTGGTTTTTATCAGATGAACATGAATTAATGAAATAATGGCTCCGCTTTAATGTTCGACATCCAAAGTCCAAAGGTTTACTTTGATATTAGGAATCATGTTAAAGCCCAAACATCTGTTTTATGACCCCAGTAATGACTCTGACGAATGCATCCACACCTTTGGTTGAACAAACGCTGCAGAAAACTGCTAATTTTCACCTGCTCTTTGAAAGATTTCGTGGTTTCAGGCTTCCGGGAGAGGCCAATCATTTTACTGCAACGGTTTTCCATGAACAGCATGTCTCAGCTGAGCGTTTGGAATCAGCAGATAAGCTACAGCTTCTACAATCTTTCTTTTATATAAGGAAAAAAATCACCTCAGCTGTAGCAGCAGGAGTTGCCACGTGTTTCTGAAGACGCTAATGAAATGAGCAGTTTGTTAAACGTCTCTGATCTTTTTATCATAAACTTTTTCAATAAATGTATTTTTTTTTGTGTATCAGACAACTGAAAATTAAATATCAGTTAAGCAAAATGACAAAATGGCCTTCTCGCAGAACTGCTCCTAAAAGGCTCGTACCAAAATAATGACTTTGGTAATTACAACTTTTCCTGACCTCAATATCTAAATAAACACATTTGTTACAGGATGGATCACCCATGAAAAGAGAAAACAAAAACAAATATGAAGGGGATGCAGGCGTGAACCTGTTGAATACTTAAATCGATACAGGCAGTTAGAACTGTGGAATATTTAATAATTATTTTTGATCAGTCCAATGTGTCTATTAATGTTGCTAAAGTAGAGAATGGTCAGTTCATTTCGCAATAACATATAATCTAATTAATGCAACTACGCTACCCTTTTATTTAACTTTTCCAAACATGTTGTGATCAGTATATCAGCAAATGTCGTTTTCTGACTCGTTTATCTTGACACTTCTTTTAATAACGGCTCAATCCTCCTGATGTCTTCATTTATTTTTATTTTTGCCTTCTTATCAATTACCTTTTCGAAAGATACAGCAATAGTATTTTTAGTTTTAGCATTTAGATGATCTTTTTTCAAACGTGCAGGATTTCATTAGCAAAACTCAAACTGTGCCTCTTTTCCACTAACGAACATAATGAGCTTCATCATATTTCAAATGAAAACATGACAACAGTTCTTTTGAACCTTGTGCACCTTTGTATCAAAATAAGGAAAATCCTTACATACAGGAAAATAAAAAGTCCCTTGTCTTTAAAATTGCTGCCTGAATGATTGTATCCCACAAATCCCATTTTTCAGACTCTACCAAGTGTTACTTTAATGAAAGCGCTGTGTGTGGCGTCCGGTGAAACAACCAAAAAAGCAACACATACTGAAGTGGCCTGATAACTATACAAACACACACTTACACACCGTAAATCAACAATCTCTCTAATTTGTCGATAAAAACCAAGCAAATAAAAGTCAAAAAGTAAACCTAATGAATGGTACATCCTCTTCACAGTGTAGCCACAGCCTTTAGGAATTAAGAGAGCGGACAGACAGCCTTTGCTCACTGAATCCGAACTATAACTTACAGCCAGATGCTTCGACTGACATGTCCTGATAACCAGGTTTACGTCTAAGCTCCTCTTCCTAAATCACTGAAACTTCCAGCATTTAAAACAAAATAAAAGCAACAGGAAACTTGTTCCAAGCTGGTGAAGTGGAATCCTTGACGATCGAGAGGGTACGGGGGAAAAAAACTAACAAAATAAACAGGCTGACAGAGTCTTTATTCTCCTCTGCAGAGCATTCTCATTTTACCAAAAGCCTTCCTCGTCCTCGTCCTGCAGGTTTGAGTTAGCAGGTGGGCTGGCGACTGTTAAGAGGATTGACCACACGTGTCCTCTGGCTGGAGACACAGTTGGGAGTATTTCTGTAAATCCAACGTGGAGCTGAGATTGGCTGGGGAGGAGCATACGGGAGACTTCGTCGAGGCAAAGGGTTCTCAATCGGTGGAGAAGAGGTCGCCTGCTGAGGGGAGCGGGGCCAGACCCCCAGTTACGTTGGGCAGCAGCGAAAGGTCAGGGAGACTCTGGATGTGTGACTTGAGCTCCTTCCTCACCTGAGTCACTCTCGCCAGTTTCTGCTTATACTCCTACCGAAAAAATGACGACACGCACAGGTATGAGCAAATTACATCTTTTTTTAATATGAAAACATGTGAGGCAGGAAACAGAAGAGCAAGGCAGTAAAGAAGGGAGATGACCTCTAAAGCTGGATGCACCAAAATGTCAGTAATAAACGTCAAAATTGTATTTAAACATCCAAGAATAAACGTCTGCCAACTGTGATAACCAGATCTGCTTTTTACAGTGTGCTGACCTTCTGACCTCTTTTATTTCTTGCCATGTCAGACATGCTCCCAGCTATGTGGGCATGTTTTTAGCCAATGAGTGCTTTCAGGGCTGAAGCATTAGCTGTAAACTGCTTCTAAACTTCTAAACAGCAGAAATAAACATGTTTGCAGCTGTTTTTATCTCCTCAGCTAATCTGAGTCACTGAACATGACCTCAAAAAGATCGGGGTGTTGTTACCTTTAGGTATTTTTCCTGCAGTTATCTGTGAAATAATATGGCATGCTGTATGGTAACTGCTATAATGAGTTCAGACATCTGTACTTAACTCTACACAAGTGTATTACAGGTTTTGCAGCTCCCTTTATTAATGAGACAAACACAATCATTCAAACATCCTTTTCTAATGGCTGTTGCGTCTGTCAAGTGCCTTACCTCCAGTTTCTTCTCTCTCTCCATGAGTGCCTCCTTCTGGCTGCTGATGTATTCAGTGAGCATACGTGCTAACTGCCGCCGGTCCTCCAGCTCTGCGGCCAGGCGCCCGTTATATTCTGCCAGCAGCAAGCAGGCTTCATCCACAGTTTTTGAGAGCTTGTCTGCGGCTTCTTTGTCTAGAGTTGAGCCAAAGTGTGTTGTTAATCTCAGAGCCTTAATTTAAACTGAGGTTACTTCAGATAAACACGCTCCTCTACATGCAGTACTTGATTGCTGTATATATGTTCTGTCCTAACATTTATTGATTGAGTGCGAGTCTTTTTGGAAGGAACAATTCTATCACACTGAAAGCAGAGATAAAACAATCTAAGCTCAAGCTCTACAAAAAGATCTCCTGAGGCTGCTCTCTCCTTAGCTTTCTGTGGTCAGTGTGGTACACACCATAGAAGACACCTGTGATGCTAATTACAGGGCACAATCTAGTTTACCTTGGCTCTTTTCCACTAGTACCGGTACCTACTCGGATCAACTCAACTGTACTCTACTTGTTTTGTCTCATTTTTCATTATAATCAACTACCATCTAATGTGGATGGGATCATTACAGCAATTTGGCTGAAACTGCACGGTTTAAAGAAAGTCTGTTTTGAATTTTGTGAAGGAGTCACTCTCATGACTCACCGAGTGACACCACTGACTTGCCAATTGGCAGCATGCCGTCTGTTAGCATGACATTTTTGGATCGATTCAGCTCGCTTGGTACCAGGTCCTACTATCAAAAACCATAAAAGCCGAGTCGAATTGAGCTCAGTAGGCACTAATGGAATCAGTCTTTTCTAGGGGTACCATCTGAACGACAATTTAAAAGCAATGTCTGATTTTCTTGAAGTTTTTTGTTTTAGTGTTATTACTTATCTCAGTTTCAAGTTATTATTTTAGTGACCACTGTAGGTTGTTCTTTCTTTGACAGAAGGTTACCAACAATTTTGTCCAAAACCGAGCTGAGCTGTCCAAGCCTTACCTGTGATCTTCTCCAGCAGGGAAACATCCTGGACTTCCTGCGGCAGCGAGGCAATCTTCTGACGAACAGCTGCGTCACCTGATGCAGCGTTCTCTAAGTCCTGCAGGGCTTTTACCAGCTCCTCTGTCTGCACGTGTGCCAGAGTGTGTTTAAAGACAGGAGACAAGGGAAAAAAAGGAAGTGGGGGAAACGGTAATAAGAGATCAGTAAGGAGGCCAGTCAAAAATACCACCATTTTAACATTATCTGGATTAAACGTTGGCATCTTCACCAGCTGAGTTGCCGTGGAATCTGCGTTGCGAGGAGAAGTGTGGCTTCTATAGTCGTTGTCATCATCGTCCTCATCTTCCTGGATCTTTTGATAGCTTCTTTTCACTGGCTTTTTTTCTTCTGCAGAGTGAAGTTTGGAGATAACAGAACAGAAAAGCCACATCATGAGGTCACTAATGTGTTTCCTTTAACACCTATGATGGCATACTGATGTCGACAGGATAAACTCGAAAATGTATTTACTGTTAGATAACATTTTGGGTACTTGAACACTGCTCTTTCTGTTGTTCTGTGATACAAACTCAGTAAAAACCTGCCATTTACCTGCAAATGCAGGTGTGTCGACACACATGTTGTTAACAGTGAAAAAGTGAAAAGAAAGGCTTCCTGTTTGGAGAATTATTCAGTCGTAATCAGTGTATTTACTCAGACGCAGCCCACTGATACAGTCACCTCATAAATCATGACAGCTCTCTAACAAACGTCCACAAAATGTGACTTCTTTCAGCATTGGTGATCCCGGCCATGGTTTTAAAGTGAAATGCTGTGATGTCAAACGCATCGTATACATTTACATACACCTGTGACAACATGTTATGTAATAGTCATCTAACCTGAAGGCCTGGGGCTGTTTGAGTCTTCTATGGCGAGTTTGAGCTGCTGGATGAAGTCGCTTCTGTAGAGGTTCCTCTCCTTCCAGATGTTCAGCAGTCTTTCCATGTGCTTTTTACAGTTCTCGTCTGCATCACTGCAGGGCGACGAGAGGAGCAACAGATTTCAGCAGACAATAAGGGAGTAACGAGTTACATAAAAATTTTAAATTTAAAGACACACAGGAAGGCTATAAAAAGATCAAAGCACATCCAGAGTTTTTATGACATATTTTCTAAAAAACAAAAGATAACGGGGGCTGCAGACGTCCAGATAGGATCTGCTGTGCTTAATAGATAAGCAAAAACACAAAACAAAATTCAAACAAATGACTTCCCATGCATCTACTTCCCCACACAGACTCACACACATTTACTACATTCAGGAGAGTCTAATTTGGAGCCGACTTAGAGAACACGGTGGTCACCATTAAAATATACCTGGCAACATGGGAGCAGGCATCGACGAGCACAGACTCAAAGTCTTTGGTGAACTCGGGGCCTTTCTTCTTGCTGTTCTGGATGACATCATTAGCCAGATACAGGAATGTCAGCTTCCTGCTGCTTTTAGCTGCAAGATACATGAAAAATATCTCATTTTAAACATTAGCTTTAACAAAATTAACAAGGAAAATTCACAGAGTGATTATCAGTTTCTCACATTCAAATTATTTTGAGTTTGAGTTGCAGTTTGAGTTTTAATTGGCATATTTTCCCTTCATCATGCCCATCTCCTTTACTTACTGCATAAGAATGAGGAAAAATACACTGTTAGTCGCAATAAAACTGGATTTACTAGTATTTCTATTCTTTCACACCCACGTAAGCTGACCATCTATAAGGTCTTAGGGCAGGGGTGTCAAACATAAAGCCCAAGGACCAGAATCAGCCTAGCACAGATTCCAATTCAGCCCACTAAACAGCTTTGGAAAATGTAGAAAGGTGCATAAATTTTGGATTACAGCTTTTCCTACTGAGAAAGACCTCCCCCTTGACTGTTCATACTGCACCAAAGTAATTAAGCAACAGATAAACAATTAACTGAGAGAAAAATAGTTTTTTTCCCCCCTACAATGCAGTATAACAGTTTATGTTTTTGGGTTTGTTTGTTTTTTACAATAGGTCCACAGTTTTAAGAAAGGCTATTTCCTATTAACAAAAACAAAAACAAAAAACAAAAACAAAACAGTACAGGACAGACTGGGCTGTAAGATACCAGAAGTCATCCTACACATTTATTTCCTGAAACTAAAATAATGTCATGGATTAAATGCACAGTTAAACTTCTTTGCACTGACAGAAAGGGGCTTTGCAGTGTGTTGTACGTGGCTCACAGCGTAAAATGAGTTTACAGTCTGTGTAAAGTGTCCTTTACTTGTTAGTTACCGGCTCTCTCTTTGGCTGCAACATACACACAAATGTGTGGGGGTTTTTTCAGGAGGGCAGTCAGGTCTCACCTTTTTTCAGCTCTCTGTGCCACACTTTGACGATGAGGGCCGAGTGTTTGCGGTGGTGGATGATCCACAGAGACAGAGTCTGGACGCTCTGCTGCGAGCTGCTCAGCTCCGACAGCTTCTTCTCCAGGGCGGACTCAGAGAAGGACGACATGCCGGTGAGTAAGTGGGCGCTTCCCTTGTGACCGGACCGACTCCGACCAGCGTTAACGCGACTGAGCCCCGAGCTATTTTGGAGAGACTCGCACTGTCATCAAAACTGAAGTTGTGCTGCTAACTTACTGACAAGTAGCATCAAACTGTTTCCCGCTCCTCCCAAACGTTACCTTAGCTCCCAGCTTCCTGAATTATCGACCAAATCCGCTAAAGCAAGCCTGCGATGAAGATGAGCTCCTTTATCAGCAGCTGCTTCTTCACTCAGTCCAGTGTTTGTTTACAGCACCAGCTAACGTTAGCCAACCGAGCTAAGCAGCCATCTGCAGAGCAGTGCAGCCCTGTGCTAGCCTGCTCTCCAAACAGACTCTGGATACACAGAACTTCTGTAACAAGCCCGATTAATACGTGTCAACCCACCAGCATAAAAAACCCAACGACGAAGCGCTAACGGCGAAACTCACACTTTGGCTTTGGTCGCCTAACTCATCAAAAAGACTTCTTTCAAAAAATGGCAGCTTGCACTTTCACCTCGATGTTCGCGTCGCATGGTAGTGACGCAAGCAGACCAGGCATCACCATCATCATCTTTATCCGGGGATGAAGGCTATTTTGTTCATATCGCAACTGCTTAAATAACACAGATTTTTTTAAAGACAGTCAGTATCATCTATAATTTCACGAGAATTTTGGGAAATATATCTCAGTATTTTTGATGATTTAGACTATATATGTATATACTAGAACATGTAATAAGGCTACAAGGCTAAAAGTAATTCACTAAAGTTTTGTATTTTTGTTTATTTTTCACTGCAGTTCAAATGCATTAAAACATGCAATTTTACACTATCAGATCAATATTTTTGATTAGATTGATAGGCCAAAAACAACGGGAAGAGGAGAAGATGATTGGAGCTTTAGTTATAGGCCAAGCAGCCCATTGTTTTGCTATGTTATGTCCAAAATGCCTCTCTTCAAATTTTCAGTTTGACCGGCTGATCTTTTAAAAGCTGTAAGACCCGAACACTTATGTTTTATTGCTCCAGTTCAACACAAAGACATTAAAAACAGTTGTTATATAGGAATATAGTTAAATGTTGTACTTTTCTTTCTTTGTGTACCAAATGATTAATCAAAACGTTGCCCAACTTCAGTCTATGCTTAGCTGTTTGCAATTCACTTTGTGTAATGTTATAATATTAAAGAAGCATAAGAGTACATTAATAATGGCTGCTTTACACGTTTTTGGAAGGCTGAGAGGAAGAATTACACAGAGAGGAGTCACGTTGGTAAAGGTCAGAGTCTTACTCATAAACCTTTTGTCATGAGTAGATTTTTCTTGTGACTGTTTTCAAGCTATGATTGCTTTAACTTGGATCTATTACTCATGCAGCTCTGTTATTAATCTGACTGCAATATGTCATCAAAGGACAAAACAGAGAGAATTTATCCAACTTCCTTGCTCATACGGACATATTAAGAAATACCTTTCTGTTAAAAGTCTGCATATTGTGTGCATGCCATCAAATCTTTGTGTTTGTACAGGCATTTGAATTTACATGGCTATTTGACTGCATAATACAGCGGATAATAAAATGCACCGTATTCCTGTTAAAACAATGGTTTTTCCCTGGATCTAAGCAAATTACATGTTAGTACAACAGGTGTGTTTGACAAAATACAGGTCAAATATCAACCAAAATGCAAATTCTGGCACACCTGTACAGCCCTCATGAAGGATTTGCACATTACAAAATAAGTGTAGCTAATAAGACTAGTGTAACATGTAACATTATATACATTTAGAAATTCGTTATTTGTTTTTTTATTTGCTTTTAAAGCACCCTTGAGTGTTTTGAAAGAGCCAATTAATAAAATGTATTACTATTGTTGTTGTTGTTATTATTATTATTAGTGGTAGTATTGTTAGTATTATTATTATTATTGGCTTTTACATTTTCTAAAATGTCCTTCTGAGTAGGACATCACTTTCAAATTATGCCTTTACAAGCTAACCTCCTGAGACCCTGAATCCTCATCTGGTGTCATTAAATTTTGGCTTTCAGCATCTTATACTTGATTCTGCTCAATAAACTGTTTTTATATTATATTTATTAAACATTGATGACTTTATTTTTCATTCTATTTTTTTAAGGAAAAATACTTTCTCTTCAAAGTAGATTCTTAGTTTTTGTGCTGACTCAGACACACTTTTGAGACACATTATTTCTATGTAAAGTTTAACAGATATTTTCTGTTTTATGGGCAGCTTCTTTTTACTAAACACACATCTTGTGGAATTTAACAAAAATAATATCATAAAATGTACTTACAAAAAGTATCCAGCAGCATCAGGTTAACATTTAACTCCCAAAACCTGTAATGTTGCCTTCATTTGTTGATAAATTCACTTTGTATCTATGTACGTAATGTATGTACATCACACTGAAATTGCAATATCATCTATAAGATTAAGATTTAAAATCCTTGAAAGCAAAGTCTTATATTGGAAAAGACTATCAGCCCTAATAAATGTGTTAAAAAGTGAATCTGCACTCACTCCATGTTAGTGGTCAAAGATTTATGAAAAAATCACTGCCTCTTCATGACTTTCATTTATGCAAATCATTTCAACGGGAGGAAAACTCTAATGACACCAACAAATTCCACATGCAAAGTACCTTCACTCAGTAAACACTTTTAAGAAGAGTTCCTGATCTGTTTTTGCACAACACACTGAGCTTCCACATGCAGATGTGCATAAGCTGACGCTAAAATACGAGCATGTCTGCTACTGTGCTGCTTTCCTTGGGCTGGTTAGTGCTGCAGTCAGCTGATGGGAATCTAGATCACACCACTCACAGCCAGGGGATGTATCTGCAGGGGGACTTCTCCTTCGCTGGACTCTTTCCTCTCTTCTACACTAATGGGCTGAGTGGTTTGCCTGCTCTGGTTCCATGCAGAGAGTGAGTGTTTCTGTTTTATTAGAAACCTGATAGATGCATTTCACTTGTGGACCAGTTAATATTGTCAGTTTTTTCAAACTTAACCCTCTTTTTTTTTCTTCTCCAGAGGCAGGCCCAACAAACATGGTTTTCATCTGTTGCAAGCTATGAGATTTGCTGTGGAAGAAATCAACAGCAAAACAGGGGTGCTTTCTCTCCTACCAGGAGTGAAACTCGGCTACCAGATGTACGATATTTGCTCAGTACCGGCCAGTATCCTGGCCACCCTGGACCTGCTCGACCAACAGTACAGGAACATTTCTACACCTGGGGCACAGAACAACACAGCCCTTAATTCCAGTGATGCTCAAACAGCTGTGGCTGTGATTGGGCCGGACAGCAGCAGCAAGTCTTTCACCCCTGCTGCTTTACTGGGGACCTCTCTTGTACCACAGGTAAGTTAATATTTGGAAGTCTTTGCTCGTGTCCATGAATTATTTTATATTCCACATTCACATCTTAAAAGAAACTCATTGCTCATTGCTCATTGCTCATTGTAGATCTCTTATGAAGCATCAAGTGAGCAGCTGAGCAACAAGATATACTATCCATCTTTTTTCCGGACAATTTCCAGTGACAAGAACCAGGTAGCTGCTATGATCCAACTCCTGGTTCGTTTCAACTGGACCTGGATCGCTCTCTTAGGCAGTGACAATGACTATGGGCTTCAGGCCATGAAGAGTCTGTCCCAACAAGCATCCAGCTACGGCATCTGCATCGCCTACCAAGGAGTCATCCCCTCAGCCACAGATGAAACAGTCCAGATCATGAGGAACATGGTAACGGACATACTGACAACCCACGTCAATACCATTGTGGTCTTCTCCAGCAAGACGAAACTCAGTGGCTTCTTCCCATTTGTACTCGAGCGCAACATAACAGATAAAGTGTGGATCGGGACGGAGGACTGGTCAGTGGCAACTCTTATATCAGGCATAAGTGGAATCAACACAATCGGTACTGTGATCGGTGTGGCCGTCAAACCTATATCCATTCCCGGATTTGAGGAGTTTGAGAAAAAGATAGTCGAGGCTTCAATGCAACGCGCCAACGCTAATGTTACCATGAGCTATGGAAATGACTGCCTACAGAGCACAGACCTGTACAGCCTCGCCAGAAATAATTACTCTCTGGAGGAATATGACATCGCCTCTGCCTTCAATGTGTATAAAGCTGTGTATGCTTTGGCTCATGCTCTGCACAGTACACTTGGTTGTGATGCCGAAAAGTGCAACAAGAGAACCGTGCATCCATGGGAGGTGAGTTGATTTAAACTGATGTTTTGGTTTGGTTTGATTTGGGTTTATTCTTTACATAATTCTCATTTTCTGTCCTCCCCAGCTTTTTCAGCAGCTAAAGCATGTGCGATTTTCCCTGGAGAACACCTCTGTGTACTTTGATGCAAATGGAGATCCACCCACAGGATATGATATTGTTACCTGGATTTGGAGGGGCACTGACTGGTCCCTGAGAGTAGTGGGCTCCTTTACCCCAGACCCAATTACACTGACAATTGATGCAGATCAAATTGAGTGGTGCGGAAAAGAAGGTTCAAGAGCAGTAAGAGCAACATGGTGTTTGGATTTGTTTTATAGTTTAAAAAAAATTAAATATTACAAAAAGACCCACAGAAAATTAACCCTAACCCTAAAAATGATCATTTTCATTTCTCATTTAAAAAGGTTAAACAAATATGCTTTTGATGTTGTGGTTTATGTGCATCTGTTGTATAGCATTTATTTCTTCTGTTATTCTCTGCTCTCCCTTCCAACCAAGAGCTAGATCTATTAGAGATGACCTGTTTAAATAAAAGCTAATCTATAATATGTCTTTTTCTTTGACTGTGTATAGGTGCCACTGTCCATCTGTTCACCACCCTGCCCAACAGGCCACAAGAAGTTGCTGACAGGGCAGCATAAGTGCTGCTTCGACTGCCAGGCCTGTCCTGCTGCCACATTCCTCAATAAAAGTGGTAAACAAAGAAAAAGGAAAAAGGAGCAGAGATAAATAGAAAACAGAGAGGCGGGCGGTGGAAAAGGGTTTCCTTGATCACATATTATCTCTATGTAGCAAAATGAGACTGAAAAGTGAATCTGAGATTTTATGATCTCATAACAAAGATTATATAAAATCGATCTTTTTATTATAAAAGCCAGTAATAAATATGTGTCGTTTATCGGCATCGTCAGAGGTGCTGATTGTATGTAATGCAAATAGAAATCCCCCAAAATCATAAAGATATCCAAGAAATAAAAGTTAAGTTGTTGTGCTCCAGAACTCAATATGTGTTGTTGTGCTCCAGAACTCAATATAGAGTTCAGCTATTTGTTCACTTCCAGTGAACAAAGTGATCCACGTTGCAACAGAGCGCCATTACATTGTTGTGTGTAAAATTGTCCAATAGGTGGTGCTGAATGCACATTCTGACGCTGGAGCCAAACGACCTAAAAAAACAAAACAAGGGCCACAATGTTGAATAATAACAAATCACATATTATATGATTTCCAGCAAATGCTGTGTGTTTGACTTTAAGTTTCAGACTTGGGCTGGTGAATCTGAGCTCAACCAACAGTGGACACAACTGCTGTCCAGCTTTTATATCCCAGGTTTTCTTCAAGCTGTGCTTTTTCTCTTCCTTAGATCCTGTAATTTGCCAGCCGTGTCTGCCAGAGCAGTGGGCGCCCCCGAGCAGTGAGCAGTGCCTGAACAGGACTGTCCTGCTGCTGGAATGGGACGCCCCTCTCTCCATTGCCCTGCTCTTCTTTTTTGCCACCTGCCTTCTCATGATCTTTGGCACTGCAATAATCCTCCTGCTCAACCTGAACACACCCGTGGCCAAGTCTGCCGGGGGCCGCACCTGCCTCCTGATGCTGGCAGCCCTGACTGCAGCCACCATAAGCTCTTTGTGCCACTTTGGCCAGCCATCGCCTCTGGCCTGCATCTTCAAGCAGTCCCTATTCATGGACAGCTTCACTGTGTGCCTGGCCTGCATCACTATGCGTGCCCTTCAGGTTGTCTGCATTTTTAAATTTGCATCCAAGCTGCCGCCAGCCTATGACAAGTGGGCAAAAAAACACGGGCCAGAGTTCACAATTTTCCTAGTGTCTGCCATCATGCTGATCATTTCCGTGCTCCGTGTGGCCCTCGACACCCCCAGGCCTTCCATGGATCTTGAATTCTACGAAGATCGCATCGTGCTCGAGTGCAGCAAGACCCTCTCGGTCGGCTCTGGTGTTGAACTTGCTTATGTGTCCATGGTCAGTGTTCTCTGCTTCACTTTCAGTTACATGGGCAAAGACCTGCCAGCCAATTACAACGAGGCCAAGTGCGTGACCTTCAGCCTCATGGTGTACATGATCTCCTGGATCAGCTTCTTCACCCTCTACCTCATCAGCAGAGATTCGTTCACCATGGCCGCACAAGTGTTTGCCACACTCTTCAGTGTCCTAGCCTTCCTCGGAGGATACTTTGTACCCAAAATTTATATTATTGTGCTGAGACCGCAAATGAACACAACTGCACATTTCCAGAATTGTATTCAAATGTATACCATGAAAAAATGAGTAGTGTGGTGATTTCATTACATTAACAGCACTTATATTCAAGGCAGCGCAAAATAATAGCTTTAAATGCATTTTATTTAAAGAATGTTTATCTTGTGAGTGTATTTGTGTGTTATTAGATTGTGCATTCTTTTGCTTAGATGTCCTATAATTTAATTTCAGTGTAATTTAATTGTCAAGTTCAAGTTTCAAGTGAGTCAATAGCAAAAAGCAGCTGGTTACAGAATAAAAGTTTGTTACAGCAAGTTGCAGAATGATACAACAACTGATTGCATGTCAAAAAAATCCCTAACTGCTTTGTCTCTCTCTCTCTCTCTCTCTCTCTCTCTCTCACACACACACACACACACACACACACACACCCACACACACACACACACACACACACACACACACACACACACACACACACACACACACACACACACACACACACTGCTGCTGTTAGCTGTTGTTTGAGAGGATAGATGAAAAGGCCTTTTGTGGCTGGGAGGTCAGCGCTATTGACCAGTAGATGTGTGAGTAGAGTCGGAGGTTGGCTTTCCCACAGTCTCTCTGTCCACTCACAGGCTAATACCCTCGGTCAACAATCGAAGTGTGCCATGGGTGAACAAGCAGGAGTTTTATTGTCTGTACACAAAGAAAAGGCGCGAGAATAAAAATTCAGGAATTTCATTTCAACATCGCCCAACATACAAACTATCCATTTGAATCCATGCAAAGGCACGTTTACACCTCTACCTGCAAACTGCTGTGGCCAACGTTTCACTGTGCTCTTGGCCGTGTTTGTCTTTCGTTACACTAAAATCAGCAAACCATTAAAGTCACCCGAATACCAGCAGAGTCGAGGTTTCATTTGGGATGTGGCTATCCACACATTAATGATATTTTGCCATGAAGTCAAAGGGACAAAAATGTGCACAAAAAAACTATGTAGATCATTGTGGTGTGAAAACTAAGAATTTGCCTTTTCCACACTAGCAATTAAATCTATAATAACATGTTTTCTTTCAGCATCTTTTCCCCTGACACCACCAGTGCAATGATGCATCCTGTTTAATTATTCCCTGGGTGCATATCAGGAGCTTTTGCCCACGTTCCCCAGAGTAAATGCAGGCTGAGATAAGCAGCAGCTCCTGATAAGAGATGGACGGCACTCCATTCTCAGTCTGGAATGGTTTTATCTCCACTGAGCCAGCCTCTGATTGCTTCACTTCTCAGTTATTGATACATCTTCATCTGACACAAACCCCAATACGGCTTAATTAATGTGCCTTTGTCATGCTAATGACACGCTATAAAGTGAAGAGCAGCTTCAGAGCTGATAGTGTCATCCAAAATGAATCTGATCGCTTCACCTACACACCCACGTCTCCATGCATCACCAACCACGCCTCCTTTCACTACATCACAACCTGTGGGGGGAGATAACAAAGTTAGCACCTCTGAGATTTAAACAGAGAGATGTGAATGAAATGCTTGAACAACAAAACCACCAAGACTAAAAATCATCCACAGTTAACATAAAATGTTCACATAAGAACATGAGCGTCCTTTTTTTATTTTAGGGAAGAAATTATTTGATAAAATACTAAAATAAAATAGAGGTAGCAGCAAACAGTGGCTTTGATTTTTCATTTCCAAGCATTACACTGTGCTGTTAGGAATACTGAGTGTTGGAAGCATGAATTTACAGTAAAACACAAGCTAGGAAAATGCTATTGCGATCTATACTTGATTATAAGTAAGTATATGTGTACACGTGTGAGTAATTGTGAATACAATATGTAGGCCATAAATCTGGGCACTGTGGAGAATGTGTGATTGTTTTACTTAGTAGCATGGGGGACTGCTTTAGTTTCTAACATGCCAAGGTCAGCTGATTGTTTATTGTGCCTTTGCATTGCAAATAAAATACATCTTGTCGTGTGTAACTGACAAGATGCTGGCTGCAAATGCCAGCAACTAGATGCAATTTGCTGGATTTTTTAATGTGTTTTTCTGTTCACGTTGCTTAGCATAAATCAAAGAAATCCTATCACATTTCCTGATTATGAAATCTATGAAAATGTGTGTACAGCAGTGTTGTCAAAACCCATTTTAAGTTTGCTGTTTAGATATGTACAGACCCAAACATCCTTATATCTGTTGCCTTGTAGATCAAACCATTAATGACCATCCCTACATTCATTGTTGAAAAGAGGTGTTAAAATAAAAATGCACTAAAAGAGGCAAAAATAAAGTGGTATTTTTTAATATATATATATATAGTACCAATGTGGACTTTTTTCATGAAATATATATAAATGTAAAAGAAGTCAGCAAGCATTTTTAATGATTGTTTCTTTTTATTTTTAATTGTCGTACAAATGTTAGGAATGAGTTTTAAGAACCTTTACACAATAGCAGAACAGCAATATAAACATCTCAGTACAACATGTTAAAAATATAAACCCATCTACACGCAAAACACACGCTTTGTAATCATACTGACACATCGAGTTTGGCATAGATACATCAAAACAGATGAGAAATATTCTCCACAGCAGCTGTCCATAAACACAGTATGGCAGACACATATACAGTAACATCGAGTAGTCCAAAGATAAAACTCCACTGGAGTAAACAACAAAACTATCAATACTCAAAATCAAAATCAACCTCCAGCTTTAAACGCAAAGGGAAAGTACGTATTAAGAGTCACAGCGGGATCTTCAGCTACGTGACAGCCGGTGCTTTTACTTGTCCATCAATGTGATGAGACGCTAAGGAAACCCATCAGGAATGAGCAGGCTGGAAAAATATATTTCCTACATAGTGAGGGAGAGTTCAGCACCCCTCATGTCTCAGTCTCTGCCTCTACCAAGGCCTCCACACGGGGCCTCTGCTCCCGCTGTCCTGCACTGTGGTGGGCCTGAGTGTGAAGCAGACTGGGGAGGAGCTGCTGGCTGTCTGGGCTTGAAGGAGTTTCTGGTCTTGCTGCTGCTGGAGTCCCTGCAGAGGGGCGAGAGAAGCCTCTGAGCCAGCTGAAAGGAAGTGCACAGGGTCCCTCCAGCACTGAGAGTAGGCCTGGTTGTAGTCACTCTGACAGAGGCCTGTCTGCAGCTGCTGCCTCAGGAAGCTCACAGTCATCTCCAAGATGTCAGCCTTCTCTAGCTTGGAGTTGGGCTCTTGCTTGTGAAACTCCTTCTCCAGAATGACTTTCAGCTGCTCGATGCAGCTGTTGATGCGATCCCTGCGCATTTTCTCCACAATGGGTTTCCTCATCTGAGAAGGAGAAGGCAGACAAGTAAGTTCACGTTTCAAGTCAGCAATGCACAAGCCAATCTAAAAATCTCCTGTGGTACTCACTTTAATGTTATCCTTCTCAGAGATCCTGATGTGGTGAACAGAGGAGTAGTTTGTTGAGTAAGGAGCCATGTCTCTGCAGAGGTGAAGTGAGCAGTGATGTCTCTGGAGGAGCCGCTCCTCATTTTATACTGGGAGATTAGCATAACAAAGTCATGTGGCTGAGGCAGGGCTGGGGTTCCCACACTCTGACCAGTGGGACTCCCAACAACAACAATGGAGGAGATGTCAATAACTCAGAGAGCATTTATCTCTGCTGGGCATGTTTCCCAAGATAAGCAACAGGCAATTAAGAGTTAATCAGAAGTGCTATCTCCGAATTTACATCAGCTGGATTGATCAGATTTTTTTTCTGTTTTTTAATTCTGATCAGAGGGAGTAAAATACACAAAAGAGAGAATCTCTCCAGGGGGAGGGGGTGACTGCAGTTAAGGACCAAATGAGTTACTGCAATAAAACAATATAAATGCCCCTTCAAAGAACACTTGAGCACTTTACTGCTCAGATAGCAAAGTGTGGAGAGGACAGAAAATGTTGTTTTTGGAATAATAAAGGCCTCGGGTATGACTCCAGGCAGTCCCATCAAAGTTGAGGACAGGACAATCAAAGAAGTCTTAGATGAAACTTATTCGTCTACCACCTGTTGCTTTTCCAACTCCGCCCCACTCAAGCCTTGACATTAAGGTTTCCCACGGGGATCGCGAGTGAGGGAAAGCTTCAGCAGTGTATCTCGCACATATTCAAAGCTACAGACGACCCAGGTGTGAAAGGAGGTGAGTGGCGTAATTTGTCTGGCCCGAGCCGGGCCGACCAACGCGTGCGCTTCAAAATGCCCAACATGCGATTTTTTTGCGCTTGTGTTGACGCACAGCGTGAGGCGTTTACTCAGCCTCTTGTTCCTCTTATTAAAGACAAACAGGGGCGGGAGCGCATATTAGCCATGTTTATATTTGCCCCCATATAGAAAGACAAACAAAGAAAGACCCAAAAGTGCCACCCTGCTGGAGAGAGTCACCGAGTCATGAATTTATTACGAAACTAATAAATTTAGCATATTTTGCAGATATCTTTATTACTGGTCATGACTTCTTCTGAAAAATTGTTGGCAGCCTTTAGTCAAAAGTCCTTGCCTCGCTTCCCCCGAGGGTCTGCAGACTCTGCTGTAAATGAACTGTGTCAAATTAGTGTCAAGTTAATGGCATTATGAGCGGGGCTGGCAGTGTGCCTCTGAGGGCCTCCATCATTGGCTGGCCCCAGATGTGAAGCTGGCCTTGTGGGCGCAGTGTGAGTAGTCCCATCTCCCCAGTTTCCCACCAGCCCCCAACATCAGGCTAAATGGGCTCCAAAAGCCATGCCGCTCCTCCACGCTCCGAGGAATGTTAATTGATCTTTTGTTGCAGCTCAAACAGAAACTCTGTGTCCTGGTCCATCTGGGAAAAATCAAGTCAACTGGCTTCACTGCCTGTCTGTATGGAGGTTTTGGTCTGTGCTTTCAGTTACCCATGTATAGTGCTGATAGAAGAACTAAAGGTTTCATCACAAAGGAAGAACTGCAGAGATGCAGTACTGTTAAAAGTCTTGGGCCGCCCCTTGATTTCTTTAGACTTTGCTTCCGAGGAGCCAGACCTTTTCTTTGTAATATTTCAAAGTGTCAATAGTTCTCCAGGCTCTCTGAAGGTTTTGGGACGTGCATCTTTGTAACCAATTTTGTTTTTGATTCTTGTTTGTTTGTTAAGCTAAACTATGAGTCATTTAATAATAAAAAAGCCCCTAATTCAAGTGATGAACCAGTGTTGTGTCTACACATAAAAGACACAACACTGGCACAACACATAGGCACTTTGTTACTAGGAGCCTGTTGCAAAAACATATAATATAATATAATTTAAACCTACTTCTTTATTGAAATGTATGAAAATTGCTAAAAATAACACAGCTTGAGAGTCATAAAATAGTATATTTACACGAACAAGGTGATTCCCAAAGAGGTCTTAGTAGCCAACTTTGCATATCTCTACCCATTTTGAAGTGTGTCTCTGCAGTGTCTTTACATCTATTTACATCAGGTGTACAGTATCTGAAAGTCATGGCTTTAAGAAATAGGAGAAATTTAAGAAAAGCTTTAACACCAGATCTGATGGATGTATCTGTACCTTCAGTTGATTCATCTACTATTCATAAGCCTCATCAGAAGTGGTCTCAGTGGAAGGTTGGTCATAAAGAGGGGAAACAGAGAGAAGGCTGAGGTATGAAAAATTACACCAGAACTGGACTGAAAGTCAGACACAACAGGTCTGGTAGAGTGATGAATTCAAAGTCGACATTTATAGTTTGAGTCATGATCAATGTGTACAGAGGAGGTAAGGAGAGGGGTAAAGCTGGGTGAGCATACAGCCATCTGTGCAGTCAGGTGGTGGTGTTTGAGAGCTTGTCAAAACTGATGAAATTATGAACACAGAAAAGTTCAGGCTGTGTTGTCACACCAAATATTGGAACTCACTAGATTATACAATTGTCTGTTTTTGTCTTATACACTATATTTCCATTTCTTCTTGCACATTTTTCAATGCCCATATTTCCCATTTTCATAGAAAAATCTAAAATAAATAAATGAGGGGAGTCTCAAGACTTTTGTACAGCAGTGAGTCCAGTCAGTGGCAGCATCCCCACCACAAGTCATGTAAAAGCAGCATCGGCACAGTAGAAAATGCTCAAAAAGTGCTACAGGTATTGAACAATAATTCACAATAAATCTGATATGAGAGAGATTAAAGCAGGTAAAAAAGTAAATCTCGGATCTCTGGAGGTAATGAGATGCCCTGTTTTTTCTCTCTCTCTTTCTCCTCTTACATCTGTGTGGCCCATATCAGCAGTACTACTTAAAACTGTTGTCATTACTGAAAAATCAAAAAAAATCCAGTAACTTTCAATGAGCCCAGCGCTTTTTAAATCTCTTTTTTTCTCTTTGTCATCATGTCAGTGCGAAGTTCTCCTCCTTTGGAAGTTGGTGTGCACTACATGGCTGCTGGGGGTCTTTGTCTACAAGTGTGTGGGAAGACGAGTCCCCCTCCCACCAGCCGCCTGAGAGCGCTGAATTTATGCCATAAAGTCTCGGCCATTGCTCAGACCTGCGGCGGCACAGAGCTGCTTCCCGTCAGCCATCTCTCTGTGAGTGTGGTATCTCCCGTTTCCCACACTCTGCGCCTATTCACTGGTCCCAAGATGGGAACAATAGAAGTGTGTCTTGTTACACATCACATTAGCTATGGTGTTTGATCTCCTGTTGAAGGGGGGGGGCAGCTTCAGCCAGACCATCTGGCCTGGCAAACTAGACCCTGAGAAAGTCCCACATTCTCCACAACTTCAGCGCACACAAATAATTGTGAAAGACTTTTGTGGCACTTGAGAGATAACTCAAGCACTGCACAACATACCAAGACAATCACAACAGAGAAAAGCGGCATATGTGGCCTGCTGGGGCGTCTACATACTGATTTTTGATTTTTTTTAAGCACCTGTTGATGATTACCAGGTCGGATAAGATGACATGTTAATGATACCTGTGGTAAATCTCAAATCAAAATTTAGCTAAACAAGACACTTTCCTGAATCAGTAAATTAACATTAACGATTCAAACTCTTTAGTTGCATTCTGCTCAAATTACTGTCACTTAAACTGACTTGAAAATGTAGTCATTTTGTAAGAATTATAATTTAATTTAAGCACTTGTAGAGTGCCACCATTCAGCTCCACCAGACCTGTGCAAACAGATGTATTATACACCTGGCACTATGGCAAGAAAAAAAGACAGACTTGTACATTTTAATCGGCATCACTCTTTAAATGGTGAAAACTTGCGTCTAGTTGGAGTTTCTGTTATATCGCCATTTTATTTTCCCCATTTCCTAAGTCTTTACAATGTTTAGAAGGTTTGTAGTGATGTAAGTGACTAATTACTGGAGCCATAGATGCATAAATGGTGATCAAACCACCAAATATTTAGCACTAACCTAATGAATCTTTACAAGAACCAGAGCTCAATTCTTACACTGAACTAAAGCTGCTGTCAGTTCTAGTATGACTGGATTTAAGTTTTTAGTCCCCCACTCCACCAGCTCCCTTCTCTGTCTCTCACTTTGGTGTACAGAAATGAATCAATCAGTAATAAGTCAAGACATATTTAGCACTGTAGTTTTCTTTAAAAGAAAGCACATTGCGATTACTTATATTTGCAGAACTTCATCAGAAGTTTCTCATTTATTTTTTTTTCAATATCAAACTCCTCAAGGAAGCAATAAATCAGATTCTTTTTACAAAGATTGATATCAGCGCAAAAGGCCTTTATAAAAGGCATTGTTATGAAGATTTTAAAAATCCATTATGAACATTACAAGTGGACAGGTAATGGTTACAGTATCAGTATCCTTCATACACAGGCCAAATGATGGTTACAAATAGAACAAAGTATAATCGTTATAAGATTTACAGTACAGATGGATCCATGGGATCTCTCTATGGCTTGTTTTTGATTCATCAACAGCAAACTGATGAAACACGTCAATCAGTGACACTCAGCATCAGGGACAAACAGTAAACACATCGATCAGTGTCTCGGACACTTAAATAGTTTCAAACCAACGTGGTTAATATAATTCAATGATGTTTGCAAAACAAACAAAAAGTCAGGAGCAGTTTTCCCACAGGGACAATTAACGCATTCACAGAATGAGCACTCCAAATAATAAAGCGTGTATCATATATAATACACTAAATCATTTCAGTCCTTCCAAAGGAGTACCGGCACATCGTGCTGATTTCACCACAAAATAAAACACTTGACAGTATTGAATCTTCTGCTAAAGCAGAAGAAAGCAGACTTCTCTATAAGTCCTTAACTCTCTGTCCATGACGTTCACAGACGTAGTTCTCTCTCGGTTCACAGGTGATCCCGCCTCCATGTTACCAGGGCCTCCACAGAGCACAGCTGACCTGGCTTACGCCCTTGCTGGAGCTGACCTGATGGAGTGGGGAGCCAGGAGGGGAGGGGAGGTTGCAGGGACTGTGACTGGTCCCGCTGGACGCCTGCAGGCCGTGAAAGTGGCTGAGTAGCAGCCTGTGGGCTTGAGTCTGGACCTGGCAGTGGGACAGGAAGCTGACAGCCTCCTGCACGCAGTGGGAGTAACCGTCGCTAGCCACCATCGGGCTAGAGGTCAAGCCGGCCTGCTTCTGCTGCTGGTGCCAGTTTCTCAGATATGACACAGCCATCTCCAGGATGTCAGCCTTCTCCTGCTTGGAGTCAGGCTGCTGCCTGAGGAACTCGGGCCCCAGCAGGGATTTCAGCTGCTCGATGCTGGTGTTGATGCGATCTCTGCGTAGTTTCTCTACCATTGGCTTTCTCAGCTGAAGAAAAGAAGGAGGAAAAAAAAAGGTATTTTAGTCAAATTGAACATTGCTTTTAATTGAATTATTTGTACCAACACAAATCCAGTTATGAGACTTTTCTGAAAAAAGTATTTACCTTGTGAGCAGGGGTCAGGTGTTCCTTGTTTGCTTGTCCAAAAACAGAGGGAGCCATTGCTGTGGAGTCAGGGTCTCTACTCGGGTTGAAGAGCTGGTTGGATCTGAGCTGCGTTCTCCTCTCCTCTGCCACTGCCCTGTATTTATACACCCAAATCTCCATATGAATGTGTGAGTCTTAGGCTTGATGGAGTTTCTCACAGTCCCCGGGCCAATGGGAGTGCTGGGAAGGGCTTTGAGGAAAGCAGGGCTGCCACATGCTCAATGAAGTGTTTATAGCCGTGGGGACAATGAGTGTGTCTCTGGGGAGCAGGTGGAGGAATAGACTGCAAGAGAAAGCCCGGGGTGGAGTGGGCAGAGGGAGGGGGGCTGAGTGGGGGTAGATGGGAGACTGACCCGGTGCTTGTGCTGATATGGGAAAGTGGTGACCCCAGAGGGAAGCATGCCGCTGTCTCATGTCATCTTCGCCGCCACGTAATTGAAGACAAAGTGCCTCTGCCACCAGGCACACGTGGGTGTTACAGAGGGCCAAGCATTAGAGAAAGACCAACATGCAGCCACTTCCACCAGTGTGAAATGGCAGACTTTCAGAGCTGTGCAACAGGTTGAGGTTCCTCAAAGATTCAAAGAGAAAGAAAGCAACAGATTTGCAAATCAAAACTATTCTGCTGAAAAAGAAAAGAGAATATTTAGACTATGAATATTTAACCCTTTTTTCAGATAATCTGATTAAACTGTTATATGTTTATAAGGTGTTTCCTCATTCAAGGTTTAGTACAATCCTTGAGAGACAGCTGTATAATCTGACCAAATCACTCTCACAATATCCAGCCCTGATGAAGCTGAAGTATTAGTGATTAATCGCAGCTAATTTTCATTACGTTCACCAATCTCAAGCATTTTCATAGAGATTTGTGTGACATCTAAAGACTGTAGAGCTGATGCAAAGTGTACTCTCTCAGTTACAAAAAAGTGCTGCCATTCAAAATTTGCCTGTTATAACTCATTAGCGACACGTTTGGTTTTCAGTTTGTCAGCTTTAATCTGATGAACGTGATTAGAGCTGTGTGTGAATTGTAAAGTGCTTCAGCTTTAAGCTTTCACGCTCCCAGCACATGCTGACACATCAGGCAACCCCCCACAAACTCATGCAGACAGCCACACTCTCATTCACTTTCCCTACCCCACACACCCACACAGCTGGCTGACCTGCCAGCGGCATGCTGGCCACGTCTCAGTCACACGCTCCCTTCCTGCCTGTGTGGAACGTGGGAGCCGCTGTGGTCCCAGGCTTCCCACACTTCAGTGTTTAATGACTCTGAGGCCGCCTGCACAAAGGAAGTGTGCCCCATTGCACAAAGATTGAGTGACCAACCCCCCCTTCGAGCCCCACTAACAACACATGCACGCACACACCCAGGAAAACAGAGCTGTCAACAGGGCTTCCAGGCACACCATCTGGATGGATTGTATGCCATTGTCGGCCGATCAAGCGCGGGAGATGTTTACCGTGAGAATTGGAGAGGCTGAAATAGAGACAGAAAGTTAAATAAGAAGAATAGGGAGTGTGTGTGTGGAGGGTGGGAAACTTTCTGGATAGGATGATGAACTTTTTTTAAGAATCTGTGAATAAAAAGGTGCAAAACTCTTACACTGTTTGACACGAAAAGTTTAAGAAATTGAGAAAAAAGTGAAAACCACTTCACTTTCTCAGCTTGTTGCAACAGAAAAGGGATTATTCTATATTAAAGACTAATATAACAGGTACTAACAACACTTAGATGCAGATCCAGTCTGTGATGATGCTTTTTGTTGCCCTCACATAGATACATTTTTGGAAATGTGATCTAAATATTTAGGTTGCCTATCTGGAAACTCTGCCCACCAATGGACGTCTTTCTCCTCCAGGAAGAACGTCCTCAGACAGATGTTGTCCTCCACGTTCCCACCACATATCATCCCAGTGGAAACAATAACAAGGAAATCTCCCTCAACAAGGGGCAAGCAATGGGCCCCTCCCACCTGTTTGTTTGGATTGGGGCCATTGTACCCCAATGAATTCAACTAATTCATTCACATCCTATTGTCATAATGCTGCTTTGTGATTGGCCAAACACTGTGAGAACCAACATCACATTAAATCAGTGGGAAAGTTGGCATAAGTATATAAATGAGGGAGGTCTCTGTGGGTAAAATCATAACCCTGAACGTTTTCTTGTAACCCACACGGGCCTGGACTCACGGGACGCCATCCGACTGCATATTCGCCATGAGGGATCAACACACAACGTAAGCTCGAATACAAGAAACTTCATTGTAGATCATCCTAGGCTTGATCCTAGTTTTGAACAGGCATCACAGCAATGTTTCTTCCACTATCTGTGAATTTGACTCAAAAGTGATTGAAAGTTTTTCCTTTTTTTTTTAAATGTTGAATGAATGTTACCAAAACCATTTCTACATGTGCCGTCAATATTTATGCATGCTGGTATTTTCTCCTGGAAACAACCCAATTCTCTGCATCTACCATTAATTTGATGTTTCTCCATCTCCTTCCACAGCCTGTGTAAGATGATGATTTTGGAAAGGAAGTGCACAGACAGAGCAGTGAGGCTCCGCTCCACGTTAGAGAGCCATCTAAGCACTGGAATGAGCAGCTCTGACGTGTGGGACAAGACTGTCTCCTTTTTCACAGTGAAGAAGGCCTTCATTTTCCATAATGGCTACACCAAATCCTCCAGAGAGGCCATGAGGCTGTTCCCCTCACCTTCTGAGGATGTGTCGCCTTTGTGTTGCCAGTAAGAAGTGCACCGAAAGAGGGTTGAAATACGAAGAGGAAAACAAAATCTAGGCATTTTTATAAACTTTTTTCTCCAAATGTCTTCTTAAGCACAAATGGTGGAAAAGATGGGAGTTCTCATTAACTGTGACTACCTGCACCGTGATCCTATTGGTCATTGCACAGGCCCTAGAAATGTGCATGTTATGCCTTAAATCTAAGTACTTCTTAGAACTTTAAGATCATGTTATTACAGTTTTATTAAACTGAAAGTCATATTCCTTTGTTTAAAGGGTAAAAGTTAATTTTATGCCAATGCATATTTTGTAAATGTTTAAGATTTTGTCAGTCATGTATAAAATTTGTTGCTGAAAGCCATAAGTGAAAAGTGCAATGTGCTTTCCTGTGCAATTTTAAGTAAAATGACATGTTTTCCCATCATGTGCTGCTTGTTTTGTTTTCTAACAAAATGGATTAAATATATACATTTCTTTATTTTGTTTGCTCCGGCACTTTCAAAATGTAAATGATTAAATTATGATTGTGTGTTGAGCCTCGAAAGGTTCGACTTCCATATCTTGCACTTTAGTGTCATAATCAATGTCACCCTCTAGTGTGCATTAATGCAACAACACTTCACATGTGATCAACAATTATTCAACCATGAATTCTCAGAGCTCTGCTTTAAAGCTGCAAACTTTTATAAAAGTGTTCTTAAATACATTTCTGGAGTTTTAACCCTCTGTGCATGAAAAGAGGAAGTAATCAGACTGGGGACTTACCATCTTACACCACTACGCACATGCCTGCATTTTTAATGAAAAGTATACTGATTGATGTAAAGTGCTGCGCAAAAGGTCTCTAGCCACCCTTCATTTCTTTACATTATGCTTGAAAAACTTGGAAGTAGGTGCAGCAGTTAGTTGAAATGTGCAAATATATAAAGGGGAAAAACAGTGCAGTTGTAACAGTCTTCCTATTCTTCGTCTAAACTATTAGGGAGCATTCTTGTGATATACTTTAAGTAGTCTTCAGGAACAGCTCTCCAGGCTTCTCGAAGCATCCAGGATCCAGACCTTCAGAGAGCCTGGGGAACTATTTCTCAAGACCTCCTAAAGAAGTTCTAAGAAAATGTCGCCTTTGAAGCAAAATGTGAAGAAATTAATTTTAATGAAACCGTCAAAGACTAAATCAATCCAACAGATATGAGATCCAATTTAAACTACACTTTCCACATTATTTAGAGTTCATTTGTATTCTGTGCATGTTTACAGACAGCAGTGTTATGAGCACTGTCAAACGATTAAAGGAAACAAAGGTGCAGGTTTTAATATTTTTTTCCCCCAAATCTAGAAACCAGCCGGAACAGAAGAGGTTACCCTGAATCAGATTTGGAATTATTACGGCTTTATTAATCATAGGCTAAATTCAAAAAGCAGACATTCAGCAACAGTTAAACATCGTATAGCAGCGGGAATAGGTGAATTGACGAGAAACTGGGTGAACTCCACACCATGCATTCAACTCTTGAGTACAAGGGTTCTGTAATAACTGTAAGTTCAAAGTTTGCTCAACTGTTGAGGGTAAAAGTGAGACTTTGCTTTCCAGAAATCTGTTCTGGAAACTGACGTGTGTGTTTCCAGAAATTCTGAGGAAAACCAAAACCTAAATTAAAGAGTGCAGAGAGGCTCAAGAGGGAAAAAAATAAAAATAATTAGTCAAAAGAGAAAAAGTGTAAAGGATATAATGTAGGTCTATGTTTATTATTCATTTAGACAAGTCTGGTGTTTCATTGCAACAGATGGAAATGTTTTCATCAATCCAAAGTTTACTTCATCACCAAGGCATAGCTTTGTGGAAGAAAATAAAACACTTCATTGTTCTTTCCCCCTCTTTGCTTCCAAGGTCGATACAAGAAAAAAATAAAACCAAACTGCTTTTTTGTTTCCCTGTCCGTCACTCAAATTCCTGTTAGACTCTACATGAAGATCAAACAGCAAAAGCCCAGAAGAAAAGGACAGGTTAGCTTGCAACCATGTGACAGTGAAACCTTCTGCCATTTTAAAAAACCCTTACCAAAAAAAACTTAAAGCACAACAAAAATGGAAAGAAAAAAAAACAAAAAAAAGGAAAAGGAGTTAAAATCAAATGCCGCTCTTCATAGGTGGTGGGTCAAATACCCAAAACATTTTAGTTATTGTACCCCAAAGACAGGGGGAGGAGTTTAAAGCCAAAAGATAGGATCACAACAAAACAGAATTCGTAGGCTGTTCCCATCAACAACAAAAAAACTATTATTTCTTCTTTTCACATGAATCATTAAATTCAGCTGGCCTTTTTTTGATCATCTATGGCATCATAAAGAGACAGATGCCTTGATGGTGACAGATGTGAATGGTTGTGGCTGGGTGGTCGGCAGAGCCCTGCTTCATTTTTCCCTCAAGCTTCCTGAAACAAAACAAGTTGTGATCTCAACTCTAGTCTGAAAGAGTTTGAATCAAAGTGTAAATTCTGTTTTGTGTGCCCGCTCCAACCTTTGACAGCACGGTGTTTCTGTGTTAAACTTTACAGAGATGGATCTTTTCTCTTTTTCTTTGTTTTTTTTAAACTACACATAGTTTCTGCTTAAAGATCATTTGAAGATGTCATATGGGAGTGGGAGTTAAGTAGGAAGCGTGGTGTATACACTGTGTGAATATCAGTGTGTAAAAAGTAAATTTTTGTTCAGCTGGTAGGTGTCCAGATGATAATTGCAGGGGCGTTTTGTGTTTGAGGGGTTGTGGTTTGAGGTTGGCCATTAGGGCAAAGAGTTCAACAAATCCTGCAGGAAGAGGTCCGGGTCTGGAATTTCAGAGAGGAGACCTGAAAAACAAAGTTTAATAGTAACATTCGACCAACACCACAGTTTATTATTCACACCAGAAAAGAAGTGTCATAAATTAAAAGAAAAATGGCACAAGAGAAGACGAAAATAAACTGTGAAGCTTGTCTATACTTCTGCACTGAATAATGCAAATCCTCTTATTCACTGACGGCATTTATTTGGGATGGATTTCACTGAAATTTCACTACCAAAACGTTCTTTTTTGTGGGCTTTCTCTATCTGAGATGATTTATTTTGTCTAAAAAGAAGTAGTATCAGAATAGTATCAGCCAGAAACATAGGTGTGTGTGTGCATACTGACCTACAACATCAAAGAACTCTGACAGGGATTCAGCGGGCATGAGTTCATCCTGGAAAGCCCTGAGCACACGCTCGGAGGCCTCATAGATGGGCATGTCATTGTGACGGACATATTCTGCCAGTGAGAAGGACCAGCCGCCCTCTGTGTTGCTGGTTGGTACCTTCTGTAAAAACAAAATCAAGAGCAGAAGAGGGAATTACAGTATATTATCTATTTGTCTAATGTCAATGTTCCCATTAGATTGAAAATGTCCCTAAACACCCCCCCAAACAAACAAACAAACAACATTCTGAATTCTGTATTTACAGGTAATGATTCCTATTTTTACAAAGCATCCCCAAAATTGAAAGAGCATAATACCATCGTTTTACAGTATCGACAGGCAAAATACTTTACCCTGAACATGTCGTAGACCAGGTCCACCAGGCCCCAGAAAAGAAGAGGTGAGCGATACACTGCATATTCCTTTGGTGTTTTATCTGTGAGCCTGAGAATAGATAAGAGAAGATGTGGATGAAGACCTTCTGAGATAAATAATGGACACAACATTCAATGGTTATTCCTTTTTCTTTTTAAATTTATAACTCTGACCTGCTTCACTGGTCAAGACTCACATGTCTTAGATGTATTCAAAATAAAATTACACTAGTGTAATTGAGTGTAAAACAAATGGAGACAGGAAAGGAAAGGTCTCATACTTGTTTGCACAGGCTGCCGAGACTTTACGGGCATGCGCAGTGCCCAGAAGTCTCCGCAGGAAGTACAGACGAGAACTTCTCCACCGTTCGGGTGGCATGATGTGCATGGCCAGGATGGTGTAATAGTGGGGCCCTTCAACTTCATATGAGCTTTCAACCCATTTCTCACATGGTTGCTCCTGGAAACTCTGCAGGTTCTTCTCCTCTCGGGACGTAGCCCTTGTACTACAGTGACAGAATTTGCAAAGTGAAATAAGGTGAGATGGGAATGAGAACTATGAGCTGTAAAATCAAACTTTGGATTTGTGTTTTATTTTAAGTCTCAACAGTCCCACACATGTACAGTGGGGCAAAAAAGTATTTAGTCAGCCACCGATTGTGCAAGTTCCCCCACCTAAAATGATGACAGAGGTCAGTAATTTGCACCAGAGGTACACTTCAACTGTGAGAGACAGAATGTGAAAAAAAAATCCATGAATCCACATGGTAGGATTTGTAAAGAATTTATTCGTAAATCAGGGTGGAAAATAAGTATTTGGTCAATAACAAAAATACAACTCAATACTTTGTAACATAACCTTTGTTGGCAATAACAGAGGTCAAACGTTTACTATAGGTCTTTACCAGGTTTGCACACACAGTAGCTGGTATTTTGGCCCATTCCTCCATGCAGATCTTCTCGAGAGCAGTGATGTTTTGGGGCTGTCGCCGAGCAACACGGACTTTCAACTCCCGCCACAGATTTTCTATGGGGTTGAGGTCTGGAGACTGGCTAGGCCACTCCAGGACTTTCAAATGCTTCTTACGGAGCCACTCCTTTGTTGCCCGGGCGGTGTGTTTTGGATCATTGTCATGTTGGAAGACCCAGCCTCGTTTCATCTTCAAAGTTCTCACTGATGGAAGGAGGTTTTGGCTCAAAATCTCACGATACATGGCCCCATTCATTCTGTCCTTAACACGGATCAGTCGTCCTGTCCCCTTGGCAGAAAAACAGCCCCATAGCATGATGTTTCCACCCCCATGCTTCACAGTAGGTATGGTGTTCTTGGGATGCAACTCAGTATTCTTCTTCCTCCAAACACGACGAGTTGAGTTTATACCAAAAAGTTCTACTTTGGTTTCATCTGACCACATGACATTCTCCCAATCCTCTGCTGTATCATCCATGTGCTCTCTGGCAAACTTCAGACGGGCCTGGACATGCACTGGCTTCAGCAGCGGAACACGTCTGGCACTGCGGGATTTGATTCCCTGCCGTTGTAGTGTGTTACTGATGGTGACCTTTGTTACTTTGGTCCCAGCTCTCTGCAGGTCATTCACCAGGTCCCCCCGTGTGGTTCTGGGATCTTTGCTCACCGTTCTCATGATCATTTTGACCCCACGGGATGAGATCTTGCGTGGAGCCCCAGATCGAGGGAGATTATCAGTGGTCTTGTATGTCTTCCATTTTCTGATGATTGCTCCCACAGTTGATTTTTTCACACCAAGCTGCTTGCCTATTGTAGATTCACTCTTCCCAGTCTGGTGCAGGTCTACAATACTTTTCCTGGTGTCCT